GATGAATCGCTTTTTACGAGGAGTGGAACCTTTAATTCTCATAATGAACATATTTAGTCGTTAGAAAATCCCCGTTCTGTAATGATCCACTCGTTTCAACACAGATTTTCTAGAAATGTCTGGCGCGCCATTTTTAATGGCTAACTGCTTTTGCTTGTTGAAGATTTATTTAGCATTAATGCTACAATGTCAATTTTGTATAATGACTCGGTTACATATTTTTTATCAATCCATTTTGTGCAATTTTACATTCTTGTCTATTAAAATTACATCACTATGCATTTTGATTATTTTTAAAGTGATTTTTTAATTTCACCTTAAACATATTTAAATTCGAACACTGTTTAATATCATTATTCAGTTTATTAAATTCAAATACTCCCTTTTGAAATATAGATTTACTAGTTATGCTACTATTACAATTTTGCACGTATTGCCACAACGTTTAAATGCAAAAACTAATACTTAGCTTTTCTAGAGAATCACATAGAAAATGTCGTCGTTTCACAACCGCATGGTTGAATAATCATTTTAGACAACGATGGATAGGCACACACGGACCCGTCATTGGCCTGCGAAGTCGCCTGATTTGAACCCCCTGGATTTCTTTTTGTGGGGCGCTTTTAAACAACTAGTGTATGTTAAACAAATTCATACTGTTGATCTGTTACAAGAAAGAATAGATAATGCGTTTCATCAAATTCAAGCCATAACAAATTTTGCGGAAATACGTTTTTCTTTATTAAAAAGATGCTGCGCTTGTATCCGTCAGAATGGTGGTCTTTTTGAACATTTATTGAAATAAAGCTTTGATTATCTAATTTGTATTTTTTTCATTTTTAGGAAAAAATAAAAGAGTAATTACACTGGTGAACAAAATTAAAATAATTTTTTGTGACATGGATAAAACAAGATGGTTATTATGTCAAACGTGCACAAAAAGCCGGAAATAGCATTCGATTTTTTCTATCACCCACGGTTTTCTTGCAATAAGGCATTTTATTTGCTGCTTATACTCGTAAAAGATAAGAATATGTGTGTAAGAGTAGGTACTAATAAACACTCGAATAAACATTGATGTTGCTCCTGAAGTATCTCTTAACAATGTCCAGCAATAATCAGCAAGCAAATTGATACTCCATTTGCCTTGATACCGTTTCCATAGCGGAAATGTCTTGGTGGAACCGTTCACCATGTTCATCACTTACCGCACCTAAATTTTCCGGAAAAAGATCGAGACGAGAATTTAAAAAGTGAATTTTTAGAGACATATTACATCCCATTCCTTTATAAGCATTAATTAGTTCAATCGCAATATCTTAATTTTCCGCCTTCACATTGCCTAAAAAATTTACAGTAACTGATTTAAATGCATTCCAAGCTCGTAATTCAGTTTCATTTAGAGCACTGTCAAATACATCATCCTTCATGATTTTCCGTATTTGTGGACCCACAAATATGCCCTCTTTAAGTTTTGCTTCACCAAATCTAGGAAATCTTTGTTTTAAATGCAGAAACCCTCTTTCGTTTCGATCCATAGCTTTCACATTTTTGATCATTCCCAACATAATATGCAAAGGTGGAAGCAACACGTTTTTGGGATCAACTAGTGGTTCATGAGCAATGTTTTTGAGGGCCGGAGTTAATACCTGACGTAGGCCACTCCTTCTGTTCATAATGACGATCGCGCGCACGACTGTCCCATTCACAAAGAAAACAACAATGTTTGGTATATCCCAGTTGCATTCCAAGAAGAAGTGCTGTTACCTTTAAATCTGCACATACGGCCCATCCATATTCATTATAACGGATATGCTCTAACAGAACTCGCATATTTTCATAAGATTCCTACATATGAACTGCGTGCGCTATGATACAGACGGATATTTATTACCGTTGTGTACCAATACCACTTTTAAACTAAGCTTAGAGGAATCAATGAACAGGCGCCAATCATTTGGATCATGTTTCTGTCCTAACGCGTCAAACAAACTGTTGACATCGGAGCAGTATATCAACTCCCTTTCTTGATGGAAACAGTGTGAGGTCTTGTTGCCGTTTTCGGTAAAAAGTAATGGTAACATCACCGTGGAGAAGATACCATCCTTTTAATCTTGACGCTAAACGTTCTGACTGGGATTTTGACAGATTTAATTCTCGAACTAAGTCATTAAGTTCGCCCTGTGTGATCAAATGCGGTGCTGTTGAACATCCTGGCAGGTCAAACGAAGGATCGGAAATTTTTACGCTTTCTGTACCATCACTTTCAAAATCCGTGGATTCGACTTTTTCATCCAAAGACCAAGATTCTGGTGGAACTGGGACAGAAAGTTCATCAGTATGCTTAACGGGCCGTAAAGCAGATGATAAATTAAAATACTTAACAGTATGTTTCTATTTTGGTCCAATACCTTTAATATTTGTGAGGCAAAAATAGCAATCAGTAGTATGATCTCTCGGTTCTTTCCAAACCATTGGTACAGCAAAGGGTGTTTTACGATTGTCGCCTTTTAACCAACCTGTTAACATCGTTACACAAGTCTTACAACATGTATGAGGGGCCAATAGTTTATCTTGGTCGCCAACTTTCAACACAAGAGGAGTAAAAGTACGTTTTAGGGATTTAAAAGTTAGCTCTCCGCACATATAACAAAAACTGTTCGCACTATTTACACAATTTCTAGATAAGATAATGTCCATAAAGCTAGTCTCGATCACAATAAACTAAAAACAACACACCGTTTTAACAAAAATTAACAGTACTCAGAACAGCTCAGTACTCGTCAACACAGAAAACGTAACTGACTCGGCTGCTATTAGTCTACTAATAAACGCAATATGCTCTCTAAACATAGAGCTCGCATATAATAAACAGGAATAGACAGGTATTAACATTATATATGTGCGTCATCGCATAAACGCCGCGAAATGTAGCAATATGAGATGTTACGTATTGTAACACAAAAGTACATGTTACCGAATATCTGTGGGTGTTAAGGATATTTCGGCTGGGTTTAGTATAAGGCTAGTCTGCATTGTCGCTTGCCTACCCCGCGGGCGTGCGCTGCTAGGACAAAAAAGGAAGAAGGATACTAGCTCACAGAGAGACCAGGCAGATACGTCGCAACCGCGAACATATATACCCGTAACCTCATTCAGTGAGACCACGTGTCTACGCAGCAAAGGCATATACTCAGAAACCGCATATACGCAGCAAACGCATATACTTAGAAACCGCATAGAGTCAGAACCGCTCCCGCACCCGCAATCTTCACGCTCCTGCATCACCGCTACGCCAGGAATACGAACCAGAATTAGGCAGAATACTGGATCAAAGGTACGCGACAACCACATTTCATTCTTGAACCAGTCCACTCGCATACTCTAACATGTGGGTGATAGAAAAATTTCTGTTTTTAGATTTGATTTAGGGGTCTTAAAATACATAAGATACACCCAAAAATTGTCATGTCATAAATCCAGTGTTATTTGTAGCAAATTGAAGGTAAAATTCTAAAAATTGCGCGTTTCGAAAAAAAAAATGACGTACTATTTTTATTTGGAAAAATCTCCGCCACTGGTGCACGTTGGAGAGGCAGAAAATAGTAATTTACCTAAACCGTTTTAATTTTCTCCTGGCTTGATTTTGCTGGGATTTCAGTATAAATTGCATTAATAGTGGCACTTTTTACAAACCTCTTACGAGTAACTGTTAGTACTTGTAAATCTTGAAACTGAATATTGGAACCAATTAGCCTTGACCAATTAAGATGAAATTTTGTATGCCTGTCTGGTTTCTGTGACAATACATAATGAATTAACTGTCGTCATTTTGAGTCTAATGTGGCGTACGCTACATAATGGCGATTTATCATTTCCATAGGATATGATATGGGTATCAAATGAAAGAGCTTGATGAGAGAAACAATAAAGTGACGTCATTCTAAATCCAATATGACCCAGGCAGCAAATTGGCGATTTATAATTTCCATAGTCACACCTATAATATGAGCATCAGGTGAAAGGGATTGAGAGTGTTGTAATTTCAAATCGAATATGGCGTTTATAATTTCTATAGATACTTATGTGATATGAAAGGGCTTGATGAGTGAGGTACAGTAAGCAACATGGCCGCCGCAAAATATCGATTTATAATTTTCATAATCACTCGTATATCATGGATATCAAATGAAAGGGACTGATGAAAGAAACACAATAAGCAAATCATGTCATTCTTATCTAATATGGCGGAAGTTTAATATGATATTTGACAATGCAATATAATTATGACATAAATATGATCTGATCAAATAGAGCCTCGTTTGATTCTTAATGGCCTGTTCGTACATACTGTAGTTTTACGATCTGATGATTAAGTTAGTCAACTATTGTGTAAAAAATACTTATTTATAATAGCTTTCGCTAAAATGTAGGTTCAATCAATTGGGCAAGAATACTTAATCCATATAAGTTCGCCTACCGTATTTACTAAAGTTGGTATATTTTTTGTCTTTCTTTTATGCATCGTATGTATTTGATCTTGGAATATGCATACATATAAACAATTGTTATGTTTGCTTACGTCAAAATAACACTAACATAGACTTTATAAGAGGTATTCTCGTTTTTTTTTTCACACGTTTTCATTTATATTATTCGTTTAAATTTGACATTATGATATTTAATTTGTCAAAAAATCAACTCACTTTTTAATGTATATACCCGCTATTTCTCACTACTTTTTTTGAAAATTTCACTTTTTTCACTTAAATTCATGATTTGGGCCGCCAGCATTCCTGCATATGACACTCTCTTTTTGAAAAAACATTTCAGCACCGTAATTTCCATGAAAAAAAAAGGATTTTCGCAGCAGTTTTGCAAATTTCCGATGCAGTACTCCATCAGAAAATATTTAGTTGATGTTCGGGAGCATCTATTGGGGCACTTTTTTTTTGGGATCAAACTGTATAGCTGGTTAGAAGTAATTCATTTTTCCCTAGGTATACCATCTCGGTCTCCTCATGAGAAAACGGGGAAATTATCCCAAAAGTAGGCGGTCTAACCGGTCGATTGGGTGTCCGGGGGTGCGCTTTACGTTGATACGAGAAATCTTTGGCGGTCCAGATGATGAAAATAGGTTTATTTGCGGTATCATATATTCGATACCCAGCCGAAGTCAACATCGGCTGTATTTGATACCTTCTGCTGCTGCGACGAGTGTGCCGGGACATTGATGGATTTCCGCGAAATGCCTCTAATTCGGATTAGATTTTTTTGAAAGCGTCAAACGCCTGAAGAGTTCACGTGGTCCACAAGGGGTTAAATGTGTAACTTTCGAGCGTCAAAGTTGAAACAAACCAGTGTCGATGTTTTTGTTGTACGTGTTATTCCAGGTCTTTATGCCCAAGTCCTCATGTGCTTTTCTGGAGGTTACTAGATTTTACTGATTACTTTGAGGTTGACACAATTTATTCATACCATGAAGTTTATAGGCGCAGTCATACTCGCACACGGTCGTTGACTTGAGGCTCCAAATCCAATCGCGTGATCACTATTCTCGATCGGCGCTTGACGCTCTCATGACGGTGACCTTTGCATTAGTTTAAAGGTGTACGCCGATTGAAGCGAAGGGATCACAAGCCAAATTGTTCTGTTCGGTTCCTTTACACTTAGCTAAAAATGATAAGCCGTGAGTTGGCACCAGCGTTGCCATACGTACGATAATTTCATGTACTGTACGATACTTCGAGTACGATAATAGCTAAATGTACGATAATAGTTAAATGTACGATAATTTGATGAATGAGGTTTCTTTTATTAAAATGTGTCGTTACACTTCTCCCCGCCCCTCCCATCTCCGCTCTCAAATTATAATGAATTGCCTTTTGTCGCCTCTTGCCCCTTCCCCCCGTTCTTCAATTGACACGAATAGGCTGCATAGGCAACGAAGGCACCCCCCATTCTTCGGAGACGGAAGGACCTTCGACACAGTGTACGATAATGTACGATACCAACCAACGCTGGTTGGCACATTACGAAGCGAAGTGACCCGACGTTTAACGGGCAGGTTAACTACAGTTTGACGCTCGGAAAAAATCGCTTCTTTTTCTTGGCTTCGCTTCGCTCCAGTGGGCGTGAACCTTAATGCTCTCTTATAGATTTGGCCTTTGATTTTATCGCCGGGATTAGGTAAAAAGTGACATTTCCAACTTCGGTGCATAGCATATACACGGGCATTCTTTTCTGCAGTAAAATGGAATTATTACAGATCGCAGGATTAAATGACAGCAATGAATGCTAGTGAATATGCTGTAAATGAAAATTAAACAGTATAATACTCGTATTGTAACTGAAGTTCATTCAGTGGAAAATGGCCCCTAATACGCTTTGGCTGTTGTACCTATCATTCGGGAAAATGGAAATATTATACAAGGGCGGTCCGATAAGTACTTAGCCTACAAAAGAAAAACGAAAATTTTCTAAAAGTGGCGATTTATTTTTCAACATAGTCTCCCTTTCGCTTGATACACTTGACCCAGCGATGCTCCAACTTCTTTAACCCGTCTGAAAAATCCGTTTTCTGGAGGTTTGCAAAGTAGGCTCATCAAAAACCGGGCAACAACGTTGAAACTCATTGAATCAGTTTTTGACGGTCGCCATCGAAGGAGAAGAGTTACCGTACACAGCATCCAAGCGCTCTTTGATTTCGCTGCGCGATTTCACTTCCAAAAACAAGAATTGAATCACCGACCGATATTGCCCTTCGACAGAAATTTTGACGGTAGTGTGCTACACGATAGTAATTTTCTTTCGCGATAGTGACGTCGTTAGGCGGTGAGGCTAAGTACTTATCGGACCGCCCTCGTATTTGGTTTGAAAAGTCACTATTACTGGCGATACTTTATTGTAAAATACATTATATTTTTTTGCTTTCGAGCTTCAGATATGTTTGTATACTAATACTATTGTAATGAGAATGTAAAAATGTATGTAAGAATATACTTTTTTTTTAATGTGCAATGCATTTATTTTTATTTTCCAATGCAAATTTACGATTTTACTCATATGGGCGCCGTCGCTATATCAGAAATTGTTTCCCTGGTCGGCAAATACCTTTGTTACCACTCAAATGGCGAAGTCGGTGTTGCTACTCAAGTAAAAAAAGTGAAAAGCTTTTTATGTAAGCTACCTGTTTTGAAACGAGTTTTCTAAGAATTGTCAAATCCTGAAATTATCGAATTTGTAAAAGGAGTTTGATGAACTCTTGCCAGCCAGCATTTATTAGTACACAGGCTGAAAAAATGCGCTCTCAAGAGTATGTCATGACCGATAACTTAACAAGCCTGTATAAAGCTTTGCATCGCCCTATAAGTGCTAGTAGTGAACGATTAAATTTACGCTTTATGTAGAATACATTTCTTAGAGACATAATTAAAATGATAGCGTTTTCGTTTAACGAAAGACTAGAAATATGTTTGACGACTGTAACTTCCAAATGTCACATTGTCATGCCATAAGGTGTCGCCACAATAAGGATACCTCGAGTGAAAAAAACGATTATGCATTCAGCGTTGAACAAAACTAAACCCTTTTCCTCTGAATAATCTTGTCTGTTTCTTTTAAAGCGTGTTTAAATGTTAAAATTTACCTAACAACACCGGCCAGAGTCGATTTCCAAGGTAACAATGTAGCGTTGAATGTGTGTGGCGATGAATTTAAACGTGGTTAACGGTAACGTAAAGCATCAAGAAAGTAAACTAACCTTTCTGTTTATGTTTATAACAAAAATTAATGTAGTAAATCATTTGCAACATGTGTTTATTATTCAAATATTCAATTAGGTCAAAGTGATAATGAGCTGTCATACCCCTTTTATTTCAAGTTAAGTTGTATGTACGGCGATTTTTTACCCAGCATTATGAGCGTGATTGATTTTTACCCAATGGCAATCTGTACGAAGTGACAAATGTGCGGTGCATACGGGTGAAAAACCTATAAAACGTCAAAAAAATCAATAACACCATATTTTTAAGGTGCAAATAGTTCATTCCACGTTTGATCGCTGTGAGCGTCCATCTATGGAGGGATGACTCAACTACACGCATTGTTGGTTGCAGAAAGCAAGTACCTATATGTTTTGTGAAGCCGAGTAGTGTGTAGTGTTTATTTCTGTGATGTGAAAAAAGAAAGTTGGTTGAATAGCAAGATTGCATTTGGATGATTATGTGTATTGGTCTGCATGAGTATAAAATCAGTGATATTTGCTGTGTGAGAAAATTTGACTGAATATGCTGCCAATGAAGTGTATTTGTTGGCTGTGCCAGACCGGTTATTTATATGTTGTCCTTTCTGAAGACAAGCTATGCTCAAAGTTATAAATTACGGTTTTTCCTGTTTTTTGTGTTTTCAAAAACTTTGAGGAGCACTACGAGAAATCGCCTCGGCGCCCGCGGTGTGTGCAATTAAACCAAATCAAAAAAAAAATTAGGAATGACGCATCCCACATCCAACATTTGCGCAATGCCTCACATCGAGGCGCTGATTTGTATGTTCTAATGCGATCGCAAAATAAATTTCTATCAAATTTAAATAGTGGAAATAAAAAATAATCTGATAACCTTTTCACTTTCATAAATATTTCTGTCTGTAGCATATTTTCTCATCTGATTCTTCACCAACCAGAGATTTTCTTTTCATATCTCTCAAATTTTTGAAATTCAGCAAATTTGCATATTATTTAATTTCCAGAATGAATAAGAAAAAGTGGATGCGCAACTAATTTCTAGCTTTGAATCTCAAGTAAGTGTATTTGAGACAATAAACCAATGCACCTTTGCACTGCCGTTTCCTTCTAGCTTTAGTGTACAATTTACAGCTTAGACCTCCAATAATGCCATCTTTGAAGCAGATTTTACAACATCATATTAGAGCCAAACGTGGCCAAATATTCATAACTGAAGCACGTTTGGGCAACACGTACAACTACAAAACGAGTTCACAAGTTCCATCAGCTAGTGCTAAGTTAACATCTTGTAGAAAAACGTACATAATGTAACAAACAACCAACATAATTTCAAAAAAATCGTGTAACTTTTCAAGTTACATAATACCCGTGCCGGAGTGGTCTACCTGTGCAGGTATGCGTCTGTGTGTGCGCGTGCGTGCGTCAGCGTGTGCGTGTTAGGAAAATGCGCATGATCCGAAATAGCCACCGGTAGTTCTCCTTTCGGCGTTTGCGTCATTAGATTCGCTGCCGGTGATTCCCCCAAGCAAGTTTGCGGAATTCACTGGTATGTATGCGTGTATGTTTGTTTCAGTCAGGTTCATAATCGCTAAAATGGAACAGCATAGAAATAAACGTAAACGCATTGTTATTACCATAGTACAGAAACTTGTAGCAATCAGACGTTTTAGATAGAGGTGATTTGCTTAAAAACGTGGCAACTGATTTTTGTGTGGGCGTGAGTGCCATTTCAGAATGGAAAAAACAACGCGAGAAACTTGAAAAGTGGTCTAGTATTCAAACATCATCGCAGACGTCACGGATAACTATGAACTTTATATCTGTGGTTTACCCAGAATCGAGAACGTGGAATACCAATTTCCGGACTAATTCTAACGCAAAAGGCAGTCAACTTGAGTGAAGAATTGCCAGTTATTGAGGCGCCTGATAACTTTACAGCCAGTGATGGTTGGCTGCCTTGATGGAAAAAAGGACCCGGTATTCGAGAATTAAAAGTTTGCGGAGAAAAGTTATCTGCCTATAAGTCCGCTGCATTAAAATTTGGAGAACATTTTAATAAATTAATGAAGCAGTTTGGTTTAAATCCAAAACAAATTTACAAGTGTGACGAAACTAAACTATGAAATGTTACCGGCGAAAAGTTTAGCTTCAAAACAAGAATCTGGAGCTCCTGGTCACAAACGCGGTAAAGAACATGTGACTATCCTTGCTTGTAGCAATGCTTTCAGTACACACAAACTTCCTTTGTTGTTAATCGGAAAATCAGCTAAACCAAGAGCATTTAAACTCGTCCGTCCCAACGCTCTTCCAGCGTGGTATAGAAATCAAAGAAATAGCCTGGATGGATGCCGCTCTACTTAAGGTCTGGTTTTACAATTATTTTGTTCCCGAGACAGAACGATATTTGAACTAACGCGGATATCCGAGAAAATGTATTTTGCTATTAGACAATGTTCCAAGCCACCCAAGTGAGGAACAACTCAAATGTGGAGAAATACGAGTGATCTTTTTGCCTCCTAATGTAACGTCACTGATTCAGAAAATGGATGAAGGAGTTTTAGAAAATTTAAAACACAATTACAGACGTTTGTTATTAGATCAAAATTTAGATCAAGTTGATAATGGTTGTAACCTCGTTGATTGTTTAAAAGAGATTAACCTCAAGAATATGGCATATTGGATAGCAGAAGCATGGAGCCAAGTAAAAATTTCTATTTTACAAAGATCTTGGTCGACAATAATTGAGCAAAAAAAGGAACCTTGCGCAGACTATGAGAATAACAACGAAAATTTACATGAGCTCGTAAAAATAGCAGGGTGTGAAAATCTTACCCAAGCAGATGTTGGAGAGTGGATTAATGGTGATGAATTGGTGGAAGAATTACCTGATAGAATAGAAACTGTTTGTAACAATGGCGATGAGACGGTTTTAAATGATGCTAGTGACAATGAGACAGAAATCTCTGCCAAAATATCACATTCCGAGGGATTAGAAGCTCTACAAAGGGCGTTGACTTACGTCGAACGACAAGAAAATGCGACAGCAGCTGATGTGCTACTTATCAATCGTTTTAGAGATATTCCTGCCTAAAATAGGAACAATGCAAAACGTGCACAGTTAAAAATTACTTCCTTTGCTACTAAATACTGGTAAATATGTATGTTTGTATCCACATGTTTATATTTTACGTAACTTTATATAGGTATATACTCACTTGACACTAATAGTTTTTTCAATAAAAGCATTATGAGTCTTAATATTTATTTCCGTTTTATCCGAAATTTCGATTATCCGAAAGCACTTGGGTCCGCATTATTTCGAATAATAGGTGTTCTACTGTATTCAGCACGTGTCAGTTGTTTTGTAGTGACTGTCGAGGGCATACGTCCCGTCGCTTGTATCGAATGCCGAATATGGCGCCACCAGACTCGACAAAAAAGTGCTTGAAGATTTTATTGGTAAATCAAAAACAAAGAGTACCATGATCGAGACAAAAAGGAAGCCTTCCCCCTACTGAGTGGGGCCGTGGCAAATGCTTGTTCTGGAATCAGTATATAACTTCTTCCCATTCAAGTCCGCCAACGGGCCACTTCAGGTCTATTACACCATTAATACGCAAAAAGAAGGTGGTAGACAAGGACCAGTCGACCGAGGCGGTACCAACCGCTAGCTTTTTCCAAGGGTGTCTTATAAATGTCCGCATGTTTCCACACATTATGCAGTCGATTATCTTCCCTAACAAAGAAATCAATGATGATGGATCCCATGAGTACTAAGGATTCTGGATGTGAACTCACTCCTCTCTCGGAATCTCCGGGTGGAGGGTGGACTCGAGGGAACAAAATCGAAGATAAAATTTGTTCAACGAACATTTGCGGGATTAACAGCACAATTGATGCTGTTCATCACTATTTGCAATCCAATCATCCCGCCATGCTTTTCTTGGCGGAGTCTGCACCGATTAACCATCTTAGCTTCCCAAATTACGAGGTGCACTCCAATCTGAGAAAGAACGGGGGAGTTTTGGCTTTTGTCCGCAGCAGTCTTTCCTGCTCCAGAGACGTTTCTTTGGAATGCATATTGCAAAAACTTCTCACAAGTAGCCTTTCACCACTTACGTGTCAGGATAGAACGATTGTGTCGGACTCAAAGACTAAGGCCGAAGTGCTTGCCAAGATCTTTGCTGCCAACTCCACCCTGGACGTCCCCCCAACGCCCAAGTGCCGTCAGTTCAAAGGGTTCCCTACACTATGCGGGAAGTAAGGCATAAGACCT